GAAACATTTCCCACTTTTGTGTTGCTGATGGTGAGAGAGTGACCTTGTTTCGCGGGATGCAAAGATGAGACACTGGGAAGTTGCCAACGGTCCTTTCTTTGATGGAAACGTCCATTGTTTTAGTTTTTCAGATTATCTTTATAATGTGCAGCTATAATTTATCATGTTTGTGTTTTGTTTTCTGTGTTTTTGTTCTTGAACTGAGTACATGTAGTATGTGATAGTAGCATGGGAAACCAGCGAGGAGATGGAGAGCTACAATCCCTCTCGCCTCATTCTCTGCTCTCAGTCTCAAGGCATCCATATGCCGTTGAAATATAACGATTCCCTTTTTTTTCCCAAAAAAAGTTGGCAGCTCTGCGTTTGTTTTTATAAATGATTTAATGATTGAAAGTGAGGTAGACTCCCCAAGGTCAAGTGTCTGTTCTGAATTGTAAGAAAGGACTGGCCTCCCCTGTTTTGTTCTGTGCGTGAGCACTCTTCATAACACGAGGACATCTGGTTCTGTGACTCGTGGAGTCGTCTGGTTCTGTGACTCGTGGAGTCGTCTGGTTCTGTGACTCGTGGAGTCGTCTGGTTCTGTGACTCGTGGAGTCGTCTGGTTCTGTGACTCGTGGAGTCGTCTGGTTCTGTGACTCGTGGAGTCATGAAGTTTGTGTTATTGCTGTCTAACAGAATATGTTTCTCAAGTTCTGTTGTTCTCTGAAATGTAACCACGTCCAATAATGGGTAGGTGGGTATGTCTTTTTTTCAATCTGCACATATTGTTCCTCCTAGTGATTGCGTGGTTCTGTTGTATGGGACGTGGCATTGTGTGATTTTTTTTTCAAGAATCTCAGTTTCTGGGGCATTTTGTTTTATTTTTGGTTGTGGTGGGGGTTATTGGTGCTTGTGAATTCATGAACATGTCTTGGGATTGATTTGACTTCTATTTGGTGAGAAAAGAGTGGGTGTTACACACATGTTTCAAAAGCTTAAAGGCTGGATCGTTCTTTTGGCACGTCTTGGGGTTTGTTGTCAGAATTCCAATAAACTCAAGGAAAGTGAGGTTGTTGTAGGTTTACGTTGACGTCAACACTTGAGGCTCGCAGCCATGTGGTATGATAAGTGCAGCCGCTGTGGTGGGGCCCAGCTGGAAAACTTCCACAGGGAACTAATACATCGCGTGTTACTGTGGTGACTCAGTAGGTGAACAATACCGTGGTCTTAAGGTGACGTACGGATAGGGTTACGCTGATACTTCTGTGATATATGCAGTTGTACTACGTTCATTTTCTTTCTCTCTCTCTCTTTTAAAAAATGTATAATAAGGCATTCGGATGAGTCTGCTTTTCTCCTTTTCCAACTTGGTCTCTCTCACTCCCACTTTTGAATACATCTTGAAATCATTGTGCATGGAAACATTTTTAAAAAGGGAGTTGTTGTATAGGCTCTGTGCATTGCTTCTTGTATAGGCTCTGTGCATTGCTTCTTGTATAGGCTCTGTGCATTGCTTCTTGTATAGGCTCTGTGCATTGCTTCTTGTATAGGCTCTGTGCATTGCTTCTGGAAAGTTGACAGGGAAATGAAAGAGAAACAACTTTTACAACCATTTTGTTGTGTTGTAAAGTATTAGCTGCGTTATTTGTCAGGGAAAAGTGTCTGGGAATAGTCATTTTCTGGGGAAAGGATCTTATCCATAAATAAATGCATTCAGTAATAGTCGTTTGTCTTTGATATATATATTCTTGTAGAGGATAGGTCCGCTCATTAATATTCATGATCAATTCCAGTTTTTCAGTTTCAATTTATTATTATGATCAGCCTATTTATGATTTGGTCTGGTCTTTTTTTTAATGCATGCCTGATTTATATAACTGGGAGGAGGGAAATTGCCATTGCATTTATATCTTCTTATAAACAATTGAAGCCTTGAATTTTGTCCATGTCGAAAGAAAAACACCTCAACTTCCTCATTTTTTTAATGACTAGAATCTAGATATCTACTACGATTTCTATTGTTGTTTATTTCTTCATTGCTTGAAATATAATCATATTTGTTTATTTAATCATTCTTCGGGGTTCAGATTTGCCTTTAAATTTCCATGTTTATTTTTTGTTGATTTATTGTGTAAATGTGGAAGAAAATGGGCCTGAAGTCTATGAAGTGAACCCTTTGTTCTTGGTTTGTTTTGCTGATTACGTTCAAAGCGAAGAAGTAGCTGGTGTATACATATTTCTGTTTTTAGGTGGTCAGCGGGTGCTCTGGTGTGGTTTACTTCCTCTTTCCCGTCCACCTTCTGTAGTTCTTATCTCTCTTCTTATTTTGTGCGTGTTACTTTCTCGTGGCACCCCGAACCTTGGGCACCTATACCACCTTATTGTGTTGCAAGTGCCATGAAACTTTTACTAAAACTGAAATAAAACATAATTGAGGATATAAGATTTTTAAATTTAGCAATATCTTTTTGTCTCTCTGACTCTTGAGATAAAACAATCATTGTCTGTGAAGTCTCAGCTCTGTGTTGGGTGAGTGGGTCACAATTGTCCATCGTTGGTCACTGATATATAGCTGCCTGAGGAAAATACTGTCCCTGATTGTTGTGTGGTACCTTGATCGGTGATGCCACATGCTGTGTGGTAGATCTACAAAGACTTTTGTTTGGAATGTGAATGTCTTCTACTTGAACCCAATTTTTTGTGGGAGCCAGCTGATTGATTTTGAGACTGAAAGTCCTTTTTACTTAAGCATTGAAGTCCTTTTTGAGTGAAGTGTGAAAATAGTTTGTTTTTGTGTGTGAGTGTGTGTGAATTGTATGCTTTGAATTTTGCTTTTTAGTATTTGATTGATCTCATGTTCTTTGACACACATTGAGAGGATTGGAATCTAGAGTAATGAGTAGTAGAGGCAGCGAAGGCTTGGCTGTTTTTGTTCACAATTTGACATGATGGTGGATGAACATTTGGGGGCGCTAGACTAGATACTAGATATATTCTCCCTTGAAGCTGTACACATGAGCACTGATGTCTTATGCCCACTCCTTATCTTCTGTGGTCAATTGATTGTCCAATCTAATTTGAAATGTATTTCATGGATGTTAGCGAATTTTATTTTTAAAATGCACGAACAGGTGTTAGTGTATCAAGTTATGAGTAACGTCTGTCCAAAGATCTCGTTGTTTTACAACTTGCTCCACTTATTTAGACACTATCAGTTCTATGGGCAGTTGCGAGCGCCGTAAAACCTCTACCAACACAAAACAGTTCTATTGGTGCAAAGACAAAATATGCATGTGTGGAGGTAGCCAATGTTTGGTGTAGTGGAAAATGTCCTACACATAGGCCTAGTAGTTGCTTTGAAGAAAAGTAGAATAGTTTGAAATATACAAACCTAGTGAGGATGTTCAGTTGTGGCTGATGGTAAGTAGAATAAGATGATTGAATCAATTCGTTATTTAGTTGGCTTTGTTCAACTGATTGGGGTCTTGTAAAGAGGGAGGGGAGGGGGGCATTTCGGAAAACAATGTTCTGCAACCTTCATGGTTAATTTATACACCGAAGTGTAATTTGAGTGTGGCCATTTGTTTGCCCCCCAAAAAAAATTCCAGTGGAAAACTGTAAAGATAAGTAGAATCTTCCTTTGTACAATGTATTATGTAGGTAGGTCCTTGACCTTTACCATCAATGATTTCTTTCTAGAGGCACCAGCCATTATGAAGGTAGGTAGGCAATGTTTGAAAGGTTCTGGCTGGTGACTATTGTCATTGTGCGGCCAACACGCAAATTTCTTCCTGATGAGGAACTGCTCTGGGTAAAAATATTTGAGTTGTAAAATTGTAGCAAAAAGGAATAGCTATATATATGTACTTAGTTGGTATTTCTTAATTAAGTTACATGGACATGTATTTTTTAGAGTTACCTTTTAAGGCAAAACCAAAAGGCTGATTCCTCGCCCTCTCTGTGTATGCCTTTCACGTACACTGTACCCGTAGGTGGGTTTTTTAAAGGACAAACATTTCCTATCTATGAAAGGTGTCCTGGTCTTGCCATCGCACTGCATGTTTCGATGATCCTAGATGATGCTTGTTCACGTCTGTTTGTTTAGTGTAGATTTTTTCTGTGGTTTGTTCAAGTGTGTTGTGGGCATGAATGGTTGTTTGTTGTGTATTGTTTCTGAATGACTGTTTAGTTGACATTTTTAGTTAATAGTTTAAAAATACCAAACCTCAGTTACAAAGTCATTTGAAAAATGTTGTGATTTACTTGTTTGTATTTTTCCCCAACTATAAATTCATCAACCAAAGCACATTATTTGTTAGAGTTTTGTTTGTTTGTTTGTGGTTGGGTCCCTCACCTTGGGTGGTTGGAGGGTGCACCTGGTAGTTCCTGCTTCTTTTCTTTCTCCCTGTTGTCTCTGTTTTTACCTGTCTAGCTTTTTCTCAATTCTTCTTCTTCTTCTTTTTCTTCTTCTTCTTCTTCTTCTTCTGCATGATACCCCACCCCTCCCTGTTATTAACGTCCGGGATCAGCTCGTTTGTGTACTCTATGTACTAAACTACTACACAATGCAACCGCCCTTTGCCCTTGTGCTTCGTTCTACTCAAATTATATGCAAGGTAATGTAACTCATCCCTCCACGTACTTCTGATCTCAGACTGAGAAGGCAAGTTTTACTGAAGGTAGAGGCTCGATCCAGCCTTTCTATTACTTTTGTATTTTCCTAGTATCTTGTCGAAGGCCTTGCTCACCCAGTTTGTGGAAGAGGTCGTCTACTAGATCTATGTACTGCTGTCTGTGGTGGAAGAGGTAGTCTACTGGATCTATGTACTGCTGTCTGTGGTGGAAGAGGTAGTCTACTAGATCTATGTACTGCTGTCTGTGGGGGAAGAGGTAGTCTACTAGATCTATGTACTGCTGTCTGTGGGGGAAGAGGTAGTCTACTAGATCTATGTACTGCTGTCTGTGGGGGAAGAGGTAGTCTGAATGATATACTAATACCGTATGATAGAACTCAATGAGCAGGCCGGGCACTACGCACTCGACCGCACTGAAAAAAATATGGAAGAAGAAGAATTAAAGAAGAGAAGAAGAAGGAGGAGGAGAAGACAGAGAGAGAGAGGGAGGGGGTGGGTGTATATACTAGGTCCTCTACACTCTACACGAATTGTCGGCGTCGGCATAACGTGGGGAGTCGATCGAGGTGGAGATCTCGAGTGAGACTGAGGGGCCCTGCCAACGTCGTATAGCGTGGTAGATATAGATCTAGTAGTGGGTGGTTGGCGGGAGCTCTGGCTGGTGTGGTTTGCTTCTTCTTTCCTACCAAACATCTGTTGTCGTTATCTCCCCTCTTTCTATTTTGTGTTTGTTACTCTCTTGTAACACCTCTAATCTTCGGCACTTATGATCTTATTGTTGCAAGTGCCGTAAAACTTAGTAGCCTACATGCGTATAGCTCTTACTAAAAACGCGTCGCGTAGTTGTAGCCTCGTATGCCCATTCAACAAACTGATCAGCAGATATAGGAAGCGGAGTCCGAACATGACTGACCCTCAAATAAATTACATGTTGTAACGTTTTGTTTGGTTTGACGGATTAACGTAACACAAAATGGCATTGGCATCGATTGTCCGCATCTTGACTTTGTTTTAGACAGTCTTCTTGGCAAAATATAAGATAATTTTTCCAACGAGTGGGCATATAAACTAAGAAAAATCTGGGCATCCAATGGCGCATGCGTTGAGAAAATGCCCCGGAAGTTGACTTGTTGTTTTCAGGAAGGAATTAAAAAAAAAAAATGAAAAGAAAAGAAAAACAGGGGAAGCCAAGGCGAATAGCGTAACTACACATCATTCAAGGATTTCGATTGCTGAAGAACGTTCGATGAAGAAATGTACCGTAAGAGACCGCGCTGTCATTTGGAGGAACTAAGGATGATGTTATATTGGTGTCTAAGGTTTTATTCTAATTCCTGTCAATAATAAATAACGACTCAATTATTCAATGAAGAAGGCGCTGGATCAACGTTGACATTTTTATCTTTTACTTTTATCGGCAACAGGTTACAATACGGCAGTAGATCTCTCGAGTCTGCAGTAGATCTACAGCGCAGACAGGATTAAACTGTTTTATTCACAGGTAGGTGAGATTAGCGGGTAGCCTACTACAAAACAATAAAATAGATATGTAGATATCTAGATCTATATCCAGTCTCTAGTCACCACTGACAATGAAATGGATGGAGTAGAATAGATTGTAATGGTAGAGCCTCTACTAGAGGGGTAGGGCAGTGGGCAGGGTTAGGGTCAGAGAGACAGGCCCAGGGTAATGTCGTTAGGGCAAGGCCAAGGGCAGGGTTACGGGTTAGGTCAATGTTAGGGTTAAGTATCTTCTTTATTATCCTATTGCTTAAAAAGACGGTGCTTTTTCGGTAGTTCCCACCACATGCGATTAAAAGTAGAAATGATGCAAACTATTTTTAGGTAAGGCGCCCATCTTGTTTGACGTCAGACCAGGATACTGGATACCCCCCCGATCACGTGACTACATCTAAGTATAGACAACCGCATGGCACCAAAGATGGAAGTGTCTATATGTATATTATGCTTAATCTTTGATTTGATAGCGCGTCTGTGTTTGATGTCGAGCAATGACTTTTGGAGCGGTTCGATTCCGGTCCCAGACAGTTTTTTTTTTCTCTTTTCCTCCTCCCGACTGACCAACAGTTCCGTAAATTATAGGCCTAATTTGTAGAGTTGCTTTGACTTTGAAGTTGTTGTTTATTTTAAAAAATGTATCTATTAGGGATTAAAAATGCAGGAGGGGGGGGGGGGTGGTAGATCTAAATTTAGATATCTAGATCTAGATTTCTAGATCTAGATATTATCTAGTCCTCCTGCGTCTTTACGGCAATTTTCGTGCGGTCTTCCATCATGTCCAGGTAGGCCTAATAGATCTAGATCTAGAATCTAGATCTAACCAGTCTAGAATCTAGATATAGATCTCTAGATCTAGATTCTAGATCTAGATCTAGATCTAGAAAATCCGAAATGTTACCGAAAACATGTCGTTCCATGTTTGGGTATCCCAGGAAGTGATGACATCACATTACTAAAATAAGCAGCCAATCAGAAAGATGCGTCATTTCTAAGTTTAACGGCATGTGTTCCCACCCCCCTTATTTGAGCATGACCTACTTCTAGATCTAGATCTAGATCTATATGTTTGATTCGCGGTGAGCTAAGATATCAAACCTAACAACAGCAAAACATTAAATTGTGGTAAAATTAAGGGGGGCATGCCCCCCTGAAACCCCCCTTCCTATGTGTTAGGTCAGCTTGCCCCCCTGAAGAAACCCTCCTACTCTTGGGGCCAAAACCCGTGAATAACAATTGCGGGGTGGGAACTACCGAAAAAGTGCCAAAAAGGCCACCTCTATTCTCACCGAAAGTGGCTATTCTCACCCGCCCGGAAGTTCTCGCAAGATCTACTCCTCCCCTCTTCTCTCTCTCTTTGTCTCTTTCTGAATACTGTCTATCGGTGTGGACGATCAAATTGACCAAAACAAAGTTAAAAAATGATGTTAAAACACAAAAGTAAATTAATTTGGTTGTCTACAAAAATGCTACGGCTATTTAACTTTTCGAATCGAGCCGAACTACGCAGGTCGCCATTTTGTTTTGTTCTCTCTCTCACTCTCTCTCTCCACTGCCCACAGACAAAATTGTACGCTTTTAGTAGGCTACAAGTACAGTTGTAATGGAACGTTTGTTCACAGCACAGAATTCTACAATTTTTCTGTTATCACTGTGTAGAATTCTGTGGTTTAGGGTGAACGCAAAATTTGTTGGCCTAGATCTAGGCTATAACGGTGAACGCGCACCGGGTGAGAATAGCCAAAAGACTCGCCTGCACTATTCTCACCCCGGGTGAGAATAGAGGTGGCCATTCTCACCCGGTGCACGTTCACCAAATTTTGCGTTCACCCTAAACCACAGAATTCTACACTGTGATAACAGAAAAATTGTAGAATTCTGTGCCGTGAACAAACGTTCCATTACAACTGTAGCCTACTAAAAGCGTACAATTTTGTCTGTGGGCAGTGGAGAGAGAGAGAGGAGTAGCGCGAGAATTTCCGGGCAAAACAAAATGGCGACCCGCGTAGTTCGGCTCGATTCGAAAAGTTAAATAGCCGTAGCATCTTTGTAGACAACCAAATTAATTTACTATTGTGTTTTAACATAATTTTTTAACTTTGTTTTGGTCAATTTGATCGTCCACACCGATAGACAGTATTCAGAAAGAGAGAGAGAGAGAAGAGGGGAGGAGTTGATCTTGCGAGAACTTCCGGCGGGTGAGAATAGCCACTTTCTTGCTTAAAAAACGAAGTTCCATTGCATAATTGTGTTTGTTGGGGAAGTGGCTATCCTCACCCGAGGTGAGAATAAAAATACGATACCTTTCACCCCGGGTGAGACTTGCCAGCGTAGGCTATTCTCACTCAGTGTGAAACAAGACCTGTTTTTCCTCATTTCGGAAATTAGGTCAATTTCCAAATGTTTTGCACTCAAATTCTTTTTTTTTTCCTGCGCAGTGGTACTGTTTTCAAAACTATCTGACTTATTAAATTTTGTTTCCTGGCTATGCTTTCGAGCTCCTAATGTCTAAGTGGGTCAATGGGTCAATTTGTTCTGTACTAATTTCATTGGACGGACATTCATCTAGAGCTACCAGCTTGGCGTGTTTTGAATATGAGACATAGGCTAAGCCAAGGCTAGCCTTAGCCTACGCTTCGGTGTAGAACCAACACAGGCGATTCTAGAAGTAGGTCACAAATGCACACAAACTCTTGATCGAACAAATTCATTTTATATCGGGGAACATAAATTCGGGTGACTGGGGTTAGGGAAAGAGACACACACACACACACACACACGCACACACACAGAGGGACAGAGAGGCATACATGTGTAAGCGGAAGTTCACGAAAGCAGAACACCAAGCACTCAAGCACACATAGGCTAGATCTACTCACCAACGCAAAAGAGTTCCAATTTACTCGGTGGGACGTCAATCTTCACCGCGTCACTCGGTGGCAGTTGACACTACCATCACTAATTTTGCTATATTTGTTTACTTTTACTAGATTCATAAATTGCAAATACAGTCGAATCTGCCCTGACGGCCACCTCTATAAAAGACAGCCACCTGTACAAACGGCCACTTTCCATTTCCCCCCTTGCGTTTTTTTCTATATTTTTTAACTGTGTAAAACGGGCACCTGTCCAACGCGGTCGCGGCCACCATATTTTAACACACAACCCCTATCATATTAAGCAATAACTCCTGTCTTAGACGGCCACCTTAGTGACTCCATTACGTTTTGTCATAAATTGTGCACTGGCCCCTGGCGTTGTGGGCCAGCCGTCATAATTCAATCACCTGTCGTTGTTGTTAGGTAGTCCCTCCAACCGATCATGTTGCGTAGGCCCCTCCCACTGTTGACCAATAGGTACCAATTTTCAGCTGCAGGTGAGGTAAGCGTGTATGATCCCTCATAACCCGTAAGCCCCGCCCAGAACTCATACACACAAATCGTAAGTGAGGTGAGTGGTCACTGTTTACCCAGTTGTAACAAAGTAACAATAACAATGGACGTCAACATGAACTTGCGACAGAAGCGTCGCTCGCTCTCCGACACGTGTTAGCGACCCATTTATTTGTTTTAACATGGCGCTGGGTCTTCCTCGTCTGACACATTTCGTTTTATTGTCACCTTTGCGCAAAATCAGCAACAAAATAAAATAACAAACATTAAAATACATACCAACAATAACAAAAACAACAACAATGCAGCTACTTTCGATTGGGACTTCAGATAGGAATGGTTTGTTTTCTTCATCTTGATCAGTCCTGCCTAAGACGGCCACCTGTCTTATACGGCCACTTTTGTCCTTGACAATGGGTGGCTGTCTTACACAGGTTTGACTGTATTTTATTAGTTTATTATTGTTGAAAAATACCAAATAATTTTTTAAACTATTAATCTGCGATGGAAATGAAGTCAATATCATGTAGACTTATCTATAGGTCCTAGATCTAGTAGAATATGGACACGCATTTATAATAGCTAAATGTGAAACTGGAGGAAATGTACCAAGTTTAGACCAAGATACAGGGTTGCCAATTTTGGGGCTAAAGCTGGGAGTCCGGCTTTTTCAAATCCTCCGGCTTAGGCTTAATATTTAATAACCAGACTGGCGGCCATTTTCTCGCTAATTCTCACCTTTGAATCCAGCTGACCCCACCTTCTTCAATCTCAAATATCTCGACTTTTATTCGAGATAGATCTTAGATGGGTATTTTTTCACCGACGACAACAACTGGGCAAGCTTTAGCTTTAAGATGATAAACCAATAACCCCACATGCCCAAAACATTGACGAGTGCCTGATTCCACCACTTCGTGGCACATTTAGACTTTTTAATTGAACATTTCAACTTTATAGACCTATAGAGAATAGATACACTCATGACAGACTTAAGTGAAAGACTCTTTGGCTTGTCAGTGTTGATCAGTGTCTCCTCCCCAGTTTTTCCCTGACATGTGACACGTGTAGTGAACATGAAAGGTCACATGCTCAGTTATATAAATTCTTTGTTATTTGACTAGACATAGCTCTAGAAATGTTTCCTAATCTTTGAGAGGTTCGCAGTCTTTCCTTTGACTAAAACACTGGCACTGAATGCCGTGTTTTGATGAGGTGAATGTTTTACTTTTCTCTGAGGGTTTTCTAAAATGCTGGTACTGAGGACTACAGAAGAAAAGAAGTTCTAAGAAAAGAAAGAGAGAAAGTGTTTTTGGGATGATATCGACTCTTGACCAACCATTTCCTGTCTGTATCCTCAGTCTGGTGCGACGGACAACACGACACTCCCACAATGCCAGCCATTTTGTTGGAGCGCCTGCCACTCCCCAGCCTGCGGTCGTACGTCAGCTTCTCGGTGCTGGTGCTGGCCCTGGCTACGTTCTACGCCCACCAGACGGTGCGCACCAAGATGAACTTTAACCCCGACACGGAGGTAGTGGAGGAGCTCGGGTTGCCGCCGGAACTGGCCAACATCACTCTGCCCTACTCCAACGACGAGCATTTCTACAACCTGATGTACGTCATGAGAGTGGAGACCTGGTGCATATGGGTACGTTTGTCCTCCGCCACTTTTGATGTACGTCATGAGGGTGGAGACCTGGTGCATATGGGTACGTTTGTCCTCCGCGACTTTTGATGTACGTCATGTGATGTACATCTTTTGATGTACGTCATGAGAGTAGAGACTTGGTGCATATGGGTACGTTTGTCCTCCGCGACTATTGATGTACGTCTTTTGATGTACGTCTTTTGATGTACGTCATGAGAGTAGAGACCTGGTGCATATGGGTACGTTTGTCCTCCGCGAATTTTGATGTACGTCATGTGATGTACGTCTTTTGATGTACGTCTTTTGATGTACGTCATGAGAGTAAAGACCTGGTGCATATGGGTACGTTTGTCCTCCGCCACTTTTGATGTACGTCTTTTGATGTACGTCATGAGAGTGGAGACCTGGTGCATATGGGTACGTTTGTCCTCCGCCACTTTTGATGTACGTCTTTTGATGTACGTCATGAGAGTAGAGACCTGGTGCACATGGGTACGTTTGTCCTCCGCGACTATTGATGTACGTCTTTTGATGTACGTCTTTTGATGTACGTCATGAGAGTGGAGACTTGGGGCATATGGGTACGTTTGTCCGTGACTCTGATGCTTAGGTTCAAACAGCACCTAGTCATGGATGGCTGCTGTCATAAATAAATAAATGGTTGATGATGTCATAAATAAATAAATGGTTGATGATGTCATAAGTAAATAAATGGTTGATGATGTCATAAATAAATAAATGGTTGATGTCATAAATAAATAAATGGTTGATGATGTCATAAATAAATAAATGGTTGATGATCTTTGATGCTTTACAATTTGCATAAACATGTTATTTTGTTGTGATCTGTTCCTTTGAGTGTTGGTTGTTGTGTGGACGTAGTAAACAGGATAGTGTTGCTCTTGGCTGACAACTTACAATGGTCATTGTGTAAAACTTCAAGTAGAGAAAACAGGATAGTGTTGCTCTTGGCTGACAACTTGCAATGGTCATTGTGTAAAACTTCAAGTAGAGAAAACAGGATAGTGTTGCTCTTAGCTGACAACTTGCAATGGTCATTGTGTAAAACTTCAAGTAGAGAAAACAGGATAGTGTTGCTCTTAGCTGACAACTTGCAATGGTCATTGTGTAAAACTTCAAGTAGAGAAAACAGGATAGTGTTGCTCTTAGCTGACAACTTACAATGGTCATTGTGTAAAACTTCAAGTAGAGAAAACAGTACAAAAATACGGCTTACTACTTCATCATTTTAGATACAGTCCAACAGGTTGATCACAGTCACTTTAGACGAGCGACCGTTACAGACTCAGGGGTCGCTCTGTGCCAGGCACAAGGCTTGAGCTGTCCTCCCTTGCTAAACTTGACTAAGCCAACAATTGGTGGAAAAATCTGAGTTCCTGATTTTGCCTTTACTTTGTGTTTGTATTTCCATCAAAATTCGGACCAATGTTCTAAGAGTTTTTCCTTGTCATTGATTGAATGTACACTCTGCGTCTGAAGACAGACTTTGGGCTGTCGGGGTCTAGAGGTACAGTGTTCACCTCTCTTTTTTTTTTTTAAATGAAGACGGGCTGACAGAAGATTTAGAACAAGTGACCAATGAGTAAGTTTTTAGGCTGACTTCTTTTTGTGCAAAAGTGAGCGATTGTGGTGACTGATTGTGGTGAGCGATTGTGGGGACCGATTATGGTTGCGTTGAACAGGGACCACTATGAGCAGGTTGAAAATAGAAGACGTGAAAAATGCAAGGGTGTCTTGGAACAGTGGTTGTAAGTTATACGTATATTAAAACATTCTATAATAGTTGGTCCTTCACTGTCTGATGTTGACCAGTCCATCAGAAAAACATTTGAGAGATTTTCTGTTTCCCTCCAAGCATTGTTGAAATGATAAGTGTAGTTGTTCTATGCTGTTGTGAATAGAAAGTTTTCCGTGGACGGAATAATGGAACATTTCTCTTGTTCTTCTGTATATTGGCAGACTCTTGTCAACACTTGCTATTGCCTGTTGATATTGCTGGGAAAACTCATCCAGAATATTGTCTTTGGAGAGCTGAGAGTGAGTGAACAACAGGTAGGAATCTTTTTCTCTTCATTTTGGAATAGTCCCCCCCCCCTCCTTCTTTCTGACTAGTGTTGTGGAATCAAGTGGTCATAAACGCTCATCGACAAAATTTGTGTTTCTGGTCAACTGTAAGGATGCAGGAGACGGAAGTACCTAGATCTGTATCTGTGACATTACTTCTGCCTGTGTTGTCAATGTGGAGATTGACATACCTAGATCTATATCTGTGACATTACTTCTGCCTGTGTTGTCAATGTGGAGATCTATATCTGTGACATTACTTCTGCCTGTGTTGTCAATGTGGAGATTGACATACCTAGATCTATATCTGTGACATTACTTCTGCCTGTGTTGTCAATGTGGAGATCTATATCTGTGACATTACTTCTGCCTGTGTTGTCAATGTGGAGATCTATATCTGTGACATTACTTCTGCCTGTGTTGTCAATGTGGAGATCTATATCTGTGACATTACTTCTGTCTGTGTTGTCAATGTGGAGACTGACATACCTAGATCTATATCTGTGACATTACTTCTGTCTGTGTTGTTAATGTGGAGATCTATATCTGTGACATTACTTCTGTCTGTGTTGTCAATGTGGAGACTGACATACCTAGATCTATATCTGTGACATTACTTCTGCCTGTGTTGTCAATGTGGAGTTTTTGCTTGTTTTATGCACACGCGTGTTTCGTTACATCTGTCTGTGTGTGTGTTTGTCTGTGTGTGTCTGTGTGTGTATGTGTGTGTGTTTCATTCCATAGCACGAGGACAATTGAAAGGTCCCTGTTCTGTTTGTCCCATGTTTTCCTCCTGCGTGACATGACTGCAGTGTGTGGTGACATGACTGCAGTGTGGGGTGACATGACTGCAGTGTGTGGTGACATGACTGCAGTGTGTGGTTCTCTGGAACACTTAGAAACAGAGCTGTTGTTTGGCTGTTATTGTTTGGGTGTTATTGTTTGGCTGTTATTGTTTGAGTGCTCCTTCTGTCGTGTCAAACATCTATTGTCCTTATCTCTCCTCCCCCTTTTCTATTCCAACAGCTCTACTAGAGGGCACTACTTATTGATGTTGCAACTGCAGAAAAGATCTCGCTCAACTTAGAAAAGGAAGAACGATTGTTGATAGTGTCAATGATTTTCCTCCTCAGCACTTGAAAGACAAATTCTGGAATTTTGTCTTCTACAAGTTCATATTTATCTTTGGGGTGATGAACGTGCAGAGCATGGAGGAGGTGGTGCTGTGGGTGGCCTGGTTCTCCGCTCTGGGCTTTCTCCACCTCCTCACTCAGGTGTGCAAGGACCGCTTTGAATATGTAAGTGGCTACGTTTCTGACATTTTGGTTTATAGTTTTTTGGGTGGGTGTGTGTGTGTGTGGGTGGGTGTGTGGGTGGGTGTGTCTGTGGGTGTGTGGATGTGTGGGTGTGGGTGTGTGTGTGTGTGTGTGTACTTGTTGGGTACTCTGTTGTCAGTTTCTTCTGCTTCTGTTCAGTTTTCAGCCATTTTTTGTGTTGATTGGCACTTTCGTCACCGTTGTGATAATATCGGATAAGTGTCATCGGGTAAATCTTTCAGGAGAAGACCATACTGTTTGATGAAAAGGGGGGCTTAGATTCTCCCATTTTCCTTTCGTTCAAAAGAGTCCCGCATATATGGATGATGCTTTAGCTCTGTTCATCTTAATGTTTTTCCGTTTGTGGAGCATTTTTGTTATTGCTCAGATTTCTTGTCGAATGACTTCATGTTTCTATTTCTGTTGGGGCTTTTTCTCTTTTGGCATTAAGGACGAAGAATGGTAAAGTTTGGTACTCAAGTCTCCATAGGGAGTGTGTGCGTTTCCCTGACTGTGTTAGTCTGTGTGTGTGTGTGTGTGTGTGCGTTTCCCTGAATGTCTTTGCCTGTCTCTGTGTGTGTGTGTACGGTTCCCTGACTGTCTTTGTCTCTGTGTGTGTGTGTGTACGGTTCCCTGAATGTCTTTGTCTCTGTGTGTGTGTGTGTACAGTTCCCTGACTGTCTTTGTCTCTGTGTGTGTGTACGGTTCCCTGAATGTCTTTGTCTCTGTGTGTGTGTGTGTACGGTTCCCTGACTGTCTTTGTCTCTGTGTGTGTGTGTGTACGGTTCCCTGAATGTCTTTGCCTGTCTGTGTGGCAGCTGTCGTTCTCCCCGGCCACGCCCAGAGTGTCCCACGTAAAGCTGCTGTCTCTGCTGACGTGTATCTTCACCTCGTGCTGCGTGCTGCTGGCGGCCAGTGCCTGGGTCGCTCTCCACATCAGCCTCACCATCTGTGCGTTCCTGGGAGCTGAGGTGAGCACACACACACACACTAGCACACACACGCACACTCACTCACACGCAAACTAGCACACACAAACACGCACACCAGCACTCACAAACATGCACCCACCAACTTCTGTGTTTAAGACTTCGTGGTACGTGGTACGCCATTTTGAAAAACGATGTTTTACGCGAGAGTTTCATTGAGCAGTCGACACATTCTGTATAGGAAAAATTTTAATTTTATTTTTCGTGATATTTTTGCTTGCACAAGGTTTTATTGGGGGTGTTGTTGTTACTGTTGTAGGTTTGATTGTTGATCTGTCTGTGGTTTCGTTAGTTTGAGTCAGATCCTGATGGTCAAAGTCACCATGGCTGTGTTATTTGTTATTTGTTGAGTCCTCTTGGACAGTTGAAAAAGATGAGTCCAGAATGCACTTATTTCATATTTTTAAAATGCAAATCTGAATTTGAGTACTGCTTTTGTAATTATGTGTGGATCGTTTTTTTAATTTCTTTTAATTTTAATTTTTTTTTGGGGGGGAGGGAGGGCGGGGGGGCTTTGAGAAGTGTTTGTATGGTGTCATCCTGACACAGACTTTGCTACGTCTGCTGTGGTGTCTTTGGTGTGAGTGATTGACCTGATGTGGTGTCTTTGGTGTGAGTGATTGACCTGATGTGATGTCTTTGATGTGAGTGATTCACCTGATGTGGTGTCTTTGATGTGAGTGATTCACCTGATGTGGTCTCTTTGATGTGAGTGATTCACCTGATGTGGTCTGTTTGATGTGAGTGACTCACCTGATGTGGTCTCTTTGATGTGAGTGACTCACCTGATGTGGTGTCTTTGGTGTGAGTGATTCACCTGATGTGGTGTCTTTGGTGTGAGTGGTTCACCTGATGTGGTCTGTTTGATGTGAGTGATTGACCTGATGTGGTCTCTTTGTGATGTGAGTGACTCACCTGATGTGGTCTGTTTGATGTGAGTGACTCACCTGATGTGGTCTGTTTGATGTGAGTGATTGACCTGATGTGGTCTGTTTGATGTGAGTGATTGACCTGATGTGGTGTCTTTGTGATGTGAGTGATTCACCTGATGTGGTGTCTTTGGTGTGAGTGATTCACCTGATGTGGTCTGTTTGATGTGAGTGATTGACCTGATGTGGTGTCTTTGTGATGTGAGTGATTGACCTGATGTGGTGTCTTTGGTGTGAGTGACTCACCTGATGTGGTCTGTTTGATGTGAGTGACTCACCTGATGTGGTCTCTTTGATGTGAGTGACTCACCTGATGTGGTGTCTTTGGTGTGAGTGATTCACCTGATGTGGTGTCTTTGGTGTGAGTGGTTCACCTGATGTGGTCTGTTTGATGTGAGTGATTGACCTGATGTGGT